AGCAGCAGCAGCAGGACCTTTCCAGCCACCCAGTCGCAGACGCGGTCGAGATTTCTCTTGGCGATGTCTTTCGCTCTCTTCCTCGCGTCCTCTCGCTGACTCTCCTCCCTCACAGCAGCAGTCTCCTCCCCCCCTCCTCCACTCCTCCTCCTTCCTACCACCACCATTTCCTCCTCTTCCAACCCCCTTGCCCGAACTGCCTGTGTCAGGATCGTTGCAACCTGATGCGCCATCTCCTTCCCCATCCCCTCTGAAACCATCTGCCATGGCACCTTCTCCTCCTCGTTCTCCTGCACACGAATCATCCTTCCTCCTCCTCCTCCTCCTCCTCCTCCTCCTCCTCCTCACCTTCCATCGAAACCCCATCAGCCATAGAATGAGATTTCCCCCACGTGCGGGCCCATTTCCGTGAGGTAGAAGGGGTTCGTCTCTCGCAGGATGTGCCTCCTCCTCCTCGTCAGCTTCGCGCACACGTTCCTGAGCCATCGCAAGCCCGAGCTGAACGAGGGTCAGGGAGGAAGAGGAAGAGGGGAAGAGGAGGGGAAGAGGAGGGGAAGAGGAGGGGAGGAGAAGGGAGGAGGGAGGAGGACGAGGTCGGGCAGGAAAGCTCGGGAAGGAGGAGGAGGAGGAGGAGGAGGAGGAGGAGGAGGAGAGGAAAGTGGGATGAGATGATGGGAAGGGAGGGGAAAGGAGAGCAGAAAAGGAGGAGGGATACCGGAAGCGATAAGCATTGTTCGGCCCCCTCAACTCGAACGAGGACTGTAGGAGAAGTGAAACAACGGCAGGTCAGAAAAGCCAAAGGAGGAGGAGGAGGAGGAGGAGATCAGGGCGAGGAGGAGGATGTGTAGTGGAGGGAAGGAGCGTTGGGGGAGATCAGGAGGATGGAATGGAGGAAAATGCGGCAAGGAAGAGATCGAAATAGGAGGGTAGGAGGGTTGAGGGGTTGAGGGGGAGGAGTTGGAGGAGGCTCAGGGGGAGGATAATTTGTAGGACCTGCCAGTAGGCAAGGAGTGCCATCTTGAAGAGATCTACCCTTACATCGATGAACCGACTCTTCCTCCTCTCATCCTTATCCTCTACTTCCCGCAACAGCTCCCAGCATCTCCTCCTCTTCTCACCCATCTCCTCCTCCCCTGCCCTCGCACTCTTTCTCCTGCCGTCCTCCCTTCTCCTCTTCGACTCATCCAGCAGACCCTGCAAGTCTGAGCAGCACAGTACCATCTGAGGGTCTCATCGTCAGCAGCAGGAGAGGAACATCCCTCAGTCCCTCTCCTCCTCCCCCTCCTCCTCCTCTCTCCTCCTCCTCCCTCCTCTCTCCTCCTCCTCCCTCGTTTCTCC